AGGTGTAAGGAGAAAATCCTTTCTGCAAGTGAGATGTGATTTTGGGGGAAATGTCATTATTTGTATTAATGAAAGAGAAACTTAAGGCCAAAGAAACCAAAGTACCTAGATAATGCCTTAAGCACGGGAGATGTTCAATAAATACCCGTTAACTGAACACATTAACTTGTTTTATTTTAGACTTAGAAATTAAAATTCCTTAAGCAAGATTTGATAACATTCAAAAAGTAAGTAACATGAAAACTGGGTACCTGTTTTGCAATCTCTCACATGTGCCAGTTTCTCCCTGGTACAGGCACCCAAATCCACCAACTCTCTTCTGATTCTCCCATCTCTTCCCATGAAGGTACATCCAACATCACCAGAAGATATATCATCTTTATCTAAAATGGGAAGACAACTCAGTAGTATCTCATATTTCATTCTACTGGTATTATTTACAACTACTATAACAAAAATGCATCTACAAACAAAGCTTTTTGTGGTTTTAATAAAACTTCCACACATTGCTGAAAGCAAAATAAGACTATAGAGACATCTACAGCCTAAAAATTAAAAACTGTGAAGGAAGCAGGAAAGATTTTGTTAGAAATAGCAGATTCTGAGTTAGACCTGTCTCTCAACTGTGGATAGCGCTGGTCTGATTCTCATCTTGGCTAAGAAGAAAGCTCTATTTTCCCATGTCCTGCTCCACCTCCATTTGTGGAGGGCACCTCTTCCTTCCCTAGCTCCTGTGTAACACCCAGAAGAGTTACAGACTAAGACTGTCCCCCCCTACTTCTGCTCAGAGAGAGGCTACATCTCTCACTCTTCTCACTGAAAGAAAGAGAAATTGCCCAGAACGTTACCATCTCTTTTTATGCTAGATCATTCCCCTTGAGAATGAAAGCTGGTGTTTCACATTGGGGCACATCACTTAGTGTTAGTTTCTATAAAATATGAAATTAAAATCTGTTTCCAAATGATTATTTTGTTTAAACTGAGTACAAGGAGATGTTATTTATTTATTTCTAGATGTATCTTTGGCACTTTGAAGATAACTTAAAAATATAAAAATACAGGACTAAGAGGACTAACTCTGGGACTCCAACCTGACCTTTGTATGCAACTACCCCAAATGGCACTATCACTTGCTCAAAACTGCTGCCCACACCCTTACCAGTGGAGTCTGAGTCTCCCAGCAAAACCACACACCTTATTTAATTTTAAAAACTCTATTAGCCTCACTGATTACCCAGATGATTTATTGCTCTTGGTTTCAAATGATGTTGGGCTGTTACTAAAAATTAAATCTATTCTCAAAGGATGAAGGGTTTCCACCACTTGGTATTCACAAGAATGTACAACAGAT